AAGTTTGTCATCAGTCATTGGTGGGTTTCGATCCGTCTATTGTTAGTCAAGTAGGTCGGTTTTTGGTCCGTGTATTGTTAAGTCGTTCTGTTAGAAGTCCGTTTGTCGGTTTCGTTTCTGTCGTGGATAAGTCGTTTGTAAGGCAACAGTTCTTTTCAGAACTACACTCACCCGGACGATCACACTATACGAACTACTGATACTCCTGGGTTCAAACCATTTACTGTTTAAACAATGCTGCTCACAAACCTCGGGGCTTAACATTGTCCTGTATACTTTGTTACTTGGGATACTAGTAATTCTAATCCTAAATAACGAAAATTAATTCCGATAAGCAGTTTTCGAATGTAGAACTAAGGCCCACGTGACTTCTATATATAAATTTCTTTTGGCGCAAAAAAGACCTTCCTTGTCAACGCCTAATGACAGACGTCATGTTCTTCCGTTTCTTCCGTCTTATTTTTTAGGAATCCCACCATCACAAACGTAACTATTTTTTTTTTGTCGCTTTTATCTTCCTATTGCAAGTTGTAACGGCGGCATGTTCGTATTTACCTTTCAGAAACCACTGGTAGTGAACTTTGAGGCGTGGTTATGTTGAAGAAAAGCTAGCTATCATTAAAAAAACGTCATAACAATATATCAAGAGGGTTAACTAACTCCACTTCTGGTGTTTGTCTCCGCTTAGTTTTCTGTCACGTTTTCGTAAGAATTCCTCAGTACCTAATTATACACTTAGGTGGAGAGAGGCATTGCGAATCCCAAGTTTCTTTTCCATGAACATAACTTAGTGATCCTGCTCATGGCCAGAATTACCCAGTCCGCTGGATGCGCTCTCCACCGCACTAACCGTGAGGCCACCGGGCCTTGAACAGCTGTCGCACTGACTACAGTAAAAACCAGCGTATAAGAACCTAGGATTTTTCAAATAAGCCTCCATCGGTTCTTATATAAATGGTGTTTACTGTGAAATTAGGCTACCTACGATCATGGAGAAAAGTCTTGTGACAAATTTGCACTTTTGGCGCTTTTGCGCACACGCCAGACGCGAATGCTACTTCACCTGCCTAACTTCGCCCCCCACCCCCATAAAATTTTGAAAACAATTTCTTCTTCTTCAATTTCTCCTGATTTACAACATTGTATTGGGTGGGGAGGGGGAACAGTAACGCGTTTTTAAAAGAAAAGCAGCGCTTTTTTCAAACTTTAGTAGTAAAACACAGATAATTCGTTAACTTATATAAGTGTCCCAAGGACTTTTGTCCACGACTGTAGGTTCTTAACCAAGTTCTTAATTTTTGTTAAAAAACAACAACAGCAACTTGTACCTTTTTACTTAATCATTCACAGTACAGTGTTGTGGTCTTATAACACTGCCAGTGTTCTGGCTTGTTTTTGCTACCTTTTCTTGTACTGCATGTTATGTACAGTGTTATATTTGAAAAAACTCAACATTTTGAAAAAATGAACCTGTATTAAGACTTTATTATTCTATGGCTGTGTCTCACAAGGACCGGGAACTGCCGAAATCACGAATTTGATTGGCTGAAATCGATATTGACCGCGGTCTAGATTTTCCCATCTGGATCGGCATCTAGACCGGTTTCATTTTGCGTTGAAAAAGTAGCAAACTCAAATACAAAAATGTTCACCGTTTTCTTTTATTTTCTTCTCAATCATTTATGGAAGTGCCAAAAAGCCTGATGACAAAAAAAAGGTAAAGAGGACGACCAAATTTCGGCAGGTTTAAGTTCAGCTCATCTCCGTTTGCAAGCAAAATGACAGCAAACCAGTTACATTAAACGGATTAAAGTTTTCTTCTTTGCCATNAGAAAAAAGTAAAGAGGACGAGCAAATTTCGGCAGGTTTAAGTTAAGCTCATTTCCGTTTGCAAGCAAAATGTCAGCAAACCAACTACATTAAACGAATTAAAGTTTTCTTCTTTGCCATGTAATAAACATCTTATTAACCGAGCTAAGTCGGTCTGTATGGGAGAATCTTGACCTCGGTCGTGTGTACAGACCTCACTGCGTTCGGTCTGTAATCACGACCTCGGTCAAGACTTCCCATACAGACCTCCTGCTCGGTTAAGAAGAGCTAAATATTAATCAATGGCAATTAATTGATTGATATTGGAAATCAATAAAGACCAATAACTGAAAGTTGTGTGAGTATTGATTTTTATTGATTAATATTGATTTTAATTAATAAATATTGATTATCATTGATTACTATTGATTATCATTGCATTGTTAATTCTCGGTAAATTTTCAGTAAAACCAAGAGAAAATGAGTTTTCTCTTGGTAAAACGCATAAGATATGAAAGGTTCTAATCGAACTCTAAGGCAAATACTTAGAGACTTAAAAACATATCTTGCAATAGATGCTTCTGGAAAGATTGCATGACGACAAGTAATAAATGCCTGCGTTATAGTCTGTAACATGTAGAGAAGCTTAGAGAATATGCATATTTTTTACTTCCTTAGAAAATTAGAGGCTTAACTGCATGGGCCTCGAACGAAAAAAGCTTAAGAACTTTATGTGGCCAGTTCTGAGAGCAGCCAAGATGAAGTAAGTCCTGTACTCTGATTTGCGGCAGCACCCAGCTGCCTAGGAAATCTCTCCACAGATCCGTAAGATGTGTTTTAGTTTGGTTGTGGTCATTTGAAAACCAGCCGTCAAAATACCACGTAAATTTTATAGATCATGTTTTACGTAAAAGATATTTTTAACTTTTGTCTGTACGCTTTTTTGAGTTTCTGATCCAAGAAAAAGAAATCCTTTTTTTTCCTTTATGGTTAATTATTGCAATCAGGAGCTCCGGTTTTAGGTTTGGCTAAATCTATCTATTAATTGCTTTAAAATTATTTAAACATAGTATTCGGCGTGGTGTTGGTCTTCTGCCCTCGAACATTTGAACCTCCACTTTGTCCTTTTGTACTGCTTTTGTGTCTTATTGAAATATTTAAGTGATTCAATTTTCAAAACAACGACTTTATATTTACCTTCCCAATTAAACTTTTGAAGGTCAGCTTTCTTTGACTCGCAACGTTAGAAAGGACAGTGTCTAACTTCACTATAATTTAGAGGCAATGTGAGCAAATCTCCCCGCATCCTTCCCATGTGGTGTCAACTATTCCACCCCAATAACACAGTTAACCAGTGATGTCTGATAAATGCCCTCCCCTCTGGGCACATCAGCCAGTCAAATGCCCAGGTTATGCTGTATTTGGACTTAAGCCTTTCATTGTGTCACTTCATCTTTGCCAAACTGAAATTTTCTCGCTATCTAAATCAAAGGTTCCTGTAGTATGACTTTTTGATCCAGCAGCAACACGGACGGTCATTCTTCAGTAACTACGACGGCCAAATTGGTGAGGTGGGAGTAAAACCTTCCCCCTACATTTCACTGGTATTATGAATGCTTTACGTCCTTTGTTGTTTTCCAAACTGTTTTTTACTCTTCCAAAGTTCCAAACACGCGACTTCAAACACGAGAGATGTCTTTATCTTGATAACTCTTGAGACTTTCATTGTAAGCCACAAAGACAGCCATTTTATTTAGCAGCGAAAGGGCACTGAAAAGGCAGATTTTTCCTCCCCTTCAAAAAGAATTAAAAATGTACTCGCAAGCATTGTTCACTGGTCAGCGCGATTCACCCTACGAACCAAAAACTAAGGGCTGCGAACTAACGAACATGTCTGAGTAAAGTTTCAGCAAGGAAACCAAAATACTTGAACTTCAGCAGTTGATCGGACGTGAATTTAACCCATTGAATATCAAATTTTCGCCAAAAAATACCGTTTTTAACCGTTTAGTTAGGTTTTTTGGCTGCCATGGCGCTAAATAAGCCTAAGTTTTGCTAAGATAGCTTTTATTTTTTTACCAAAAGGAGAGATTTTTCGAGGATTACGTACAAAATTGAGCAATATTTCAATTCCGGGCATGCGCATAAGTCAATTTTTTTTTGTTTTTGTTTTGCCATTACCCGTTCTCAATTTTGTTTGTTGCCCCTTTCCTTTCTTTTTTTCTCGGCCCTTTTACTCTGGCTACCTTTTGCGTTGCATGTTCTTTCTGGCTGCCGTGAAAAGTTGGATGTTAATTACGGGCGAAGCCTAGAAATAGACCTTGATCAATCAGTCATATTGGACCATTTTACCACCGTTTTTGCACAAAAGTGATAACGTTGTTTTTCGATTTGCGACGTCGGAATGTCGTCGATATCTCAACCTGACCATTGTACGGAAAGGCCTAGCCTAGTACTACTATCTGCTTATCAAGAATATCTGATGACATTTAAATTGATGACGTCACAAGTTGTACAAAGAGCACGACCATTAATTACGCGTATATGCGTAATTGGGGCTCAAAGGGTTAAGATTAACTAGTAAAACGTTCGCAAATCATTAGATATCTAAAAGTCTCACTTATGATTTCAATGAAAATTACTTTATTTCACCGCGGGGTTTATACGCACTGACGCATAGTGAATACTGTTGCCGTTTTCAGCTAGCCAAATCTAACTATTTTATTTATTTATTTAATATTGCGTCTGTGTATACATATGTGCGTAATATTCATATGTGTGTAATATATGTTACATTCATGACAAAATACTCCCACAAAAGAATCCTGCTTCACAAAGTGACAAACGAGGACGCTCATAAGTTACGGGTACAGAAAAGCGAAAGCTTGAAAGGTTATCAAATCTGTGAAAGGTTATCAAAACTGTTTGGATGTAATTGTTAGATTTTTCACGCGTTCTGACACACGTGCTCATGGGATAGCCCCCAGCTGAAACACCGACGAGCTGATAAAAAGGAAAATATCACTGTACACTAAATGAGTCTGTTATAATTGCGAGGGTAAATTCATTTTCTAAGTCTGTCAATGTCTTCAGCATGATTGCTGATAACAATGATAGTGATAATTGCCCAGTGAAGTCACAGGGTTTACAATGCAAGACTACGATTTAACTGGCAGGCTGAAAGAAAATCACTTCTTTAGCTTTTCTTTTTGTTCTTGAGTTCTCTCTCCTTCCGGCGCCTCAGCAAGATGCCCAGAGATGGAAAGCCAAGAACAGCAGTTTGAAACATCCATTTGAAACTTGTCGCACGTGAAAACATCATCCTCCTATAACCAAAATACAATACGTGTGAACTGGAAAATTCCGCAAAATTGAACATAAGATTCAAAATCCAATTATTCAGGTCACATTCAAGCCTTCGTTAAAGAGATTCCCTAAAAGGTATTTATACATGGAGTAATTCGTATCAGTAGAGATCAATGTTATCTCAGTGATTCAATATTCCCTGGATTTGATACGACTTGTTCGTTGAACAACAGATACCAGATGAAATTTCCGCCACAAAACTTTCAACAACTCAAACATGTCACAACAAATTTCCACGGAGGTTCTGGAATACGAAATATAATATGTACAAGTTTCTTACGGTAACGGCCTTTTATAGTTCAGGTTCTGACTCTCCTCACCCCATCCCCTCGTCAGGACCAGAATATTCAATACCTTTTATACTGATGGAAATGGTCATGAAGTATGAAGATGAGGGGTTTCAATTCAACTCTGATCGTCACAAGTTCAAAATAATGCACAGCAACTGTAGACATGCAGCTGAGGGAAGTTGTCAGAAGTTTACAAAATTGACATGATATGAGATGACATAGCCATTTTTCTTGGACAATGCTGTCCAAGGCAGAAAAGCGTAATGAGTTCAACCAGAAGTATATCACCAAGAACTTGGTGATATGCCTCTGGTTTAACCCTATGTGAGGTACCAACCCATGGGACAAGGTCAGACCACAACACCGGGAACTCACTGCCCTACTCTATGCGATAAGTGTGTCGGTTCTTCAACGTCCCCTGCTAACCATGCAACACTGAAGATGCAGAAGACGGGGCATACGGTTTTATAGTCCTTATCAGAGAACACTTGAATGTCTAACCACTTGCAGATGTCATTGAAAAGGTAGTCCAGTTTCCTCAGTTATTTTAGGACAGTGGCGGATCCAGACTTTGAGCTAAAGGGGGGGGG